GTGAGCCCAGAGTCTACACCACAGCACTGAGAGAGACCCCACCTCTGTCCTGATGACAGAAAAAGCAGGGAGCCGAGGGCAGTTAGAACCCTGATCTGTGTGAGCAGAGAGGGGACAGTTCATGACCACTGTGGTAACATCTGTGTAACATCTGGGGGATTTTAATGAATAGGACGTATTTAATTCAACAAGAAGTAATCTCCCTCTGGACTCTTCTGAATCCCTTCACCTTTGCCACATGGGTGAAGGCTCAGTCCCCTCCATCAGGCCGTTAGGATTTCCGAGAGAAAGATTTGAACACATAGCTAACTGAGCCTTTCTTGTTTAGGGAACACTGCTTCTGACACCTGCAGTGGCAACTCTGGTCCCAGAGCCACAGCATCCAGTAGGAGAAAGGACAGTCGAGCTGATGTGGGGACGACAAGCCCCCCGGGATGCGATCCTCACTGTGAAGCCCCCATTGAGTGACACGGAGACCTCCTCAGCCTGTTCTGGGCTTTGATCTGAATGTCTCAATTCTGGGGTCAGTGTGTGTTTCTGGATTTTGAAAATTTCAGATTGGTAAAACCGTCCTGTCATCCAGAATGTTTTTATTATGACACACTTAAGTCCTAGGAAATCTATGTTTAAATTTGATTTTCTTGTGCACTGTGTTTGGTAAATTCTCCCAATTGAATAGGATATTTATATACATTTCGGCAGTTCTTGCCCAAGTCTTGATTTAGAAGGTTTTATAAAGAGGAAGGAAACTCCAGGCCCTGAGAGGAAGCCTTTCCCCTCCCCACCTGCTCCTGGGGCTGCAGCCCCTGCTGGGTGGGTCCTGAGCACCCCCTGCAGCCCAGCCGGCTACCAATCAGCTCTCACTACATGAGATTTCCAGGGTCATTCAGAGGAGGAAACTTTTGGGGCTCATGGCAGGCCTCCCCAAAATATCCCACAATGGTGTATAACTATTTAGAATGAGTTACTTAAAGAGAAACCAGTGCAGGAAAAGCAGGTGGACCCCTCTTTGTGTCCTTGAAAAAAGCAAATAATCTCCTTTGTGTAAGGGACCGTCCTTGGTCCTAAGGGGGTCTGATAAGGTATCAAGGCCTCAGCTTGCAAAGACAGTGACTATGACCTTGTATGGTGAAAGGGATTATTGAAAATGTGATACATTAAAACCTTCAGATGGAGAGACTGTGTGGACTTCAGCATGGACACTGAGGCCCACACACCGTCCTTGGAACAGCAACGTTGAGGGAAATTCTGCCCCAGGGAAGAAAGCCACACGTGGCTGGATGGGATGTGTAGGGACCTGCAATGAGCCCCAAATGCAACAAACAGCTCTGATGATTGAATGAGCCCCTGCAGCCCCTGGGAGACGCATGGCCCTGGGGACACTGTGATTTAGACCCAGTTCAGCTCTTTTCCTGACCAGCAAGAGGATAAGCCTGCCTTTCAAACCCGAGTTGTGTTTTTGGACAGTTTCCAGAGACACCAACATGCAGGGTCTACACGTCCACACATGACTGTGGACACCTGCGTTCTCCAATGACTATTTTGGGGCGGGGACATCTCAGGGCTTCTGTGTCCTCTGTCCTCCATTCTGCTTCCCGTTGTGACCCTTAGACTGTGATGCAGTTTATCTTCTCTGACCACAGAGAGGGAGCCGCCTGCTCCTGCTCAAAGGAGAAGATTCAGGATCTTGGGAGCCGGCTGCACCTCAGTTTCTGACATGGCCAAGCGCACTGCAATTGTGACAACTTCTGAAGCTCTGACTGAGAAACATACTGCTTTATACCTTAAAAAATTTAAATTCCCCTTCTGATAGATATATCACAATAATTCTATTTTATACTCTAAAGGCAATTTTAGTCACACTCCTGGTCTTTTAGTAAAGGTCAAAGTACACACCCTGTAAATCTTAAGATCCTGCTTAGACAATAGTTTTTAGAATAAATGTTGGGTGGTCATGGTAACCATCCTTTGGGCGATTATGTAGAGGCTCAGGCCTTGGTAGTCATTGTAGGTGGAGGGACATGGACACAGTTAAGATAAGTTTGTCTTTAACATAGAAAAGGTCTAGCTGTACCCTGGAGCATAAGAATTATGAGGAAGTAAAACCCTGATACTAATGGAACAATGGTTAAACTGCCCAGTCTAAAAAGGGGCATGCTGTGAAATTAAGTGAGACACTTCTTCTTGAAAAAGCGCCCCTGTGTCTCCGTGCGTTTTTTCCTTTTTGCCCCCCTCCGATGCCGTCTCCACCTGAGGGAACCCCTGGACCTGTGGGAGCTGGTCTCCCGCATCTGGCAGCTTCTAAGGATTCAGTTCAGGGAAGTAATGTTCCAATTCACCATCATGGTGATATTTACACCATGAAAAGAGGAGAACACTACAGAATGTTTTTTTTATTTTTCTCCTTCTGGGACTTGGTTTGCCAGCACAAAACTGAAAATATTTCATAGACAATTAATGAAAGCAGTTCCTTCGTCTCTCTATATCCATAACCCTAAGTCAAAGAAAGGCTGTGCCCAGCTGCCCCTCTTCAGCCCCTCACAGCTGTCCTCTCCCTCAGGGTTTCTGACACTCTCAGGATGTGGCTCATCACACTGAGTGTCTCGCACAGTAATACACGGCCGTGTCCTCAGGTCTCAGGCTGCTCAGCTCCATGTAGGCTGTGCTGGTGGATGTGTCCCTGGTCATGGTGACTCTGCCCTGGAACTTCTGTGCATAGTTTGTGGCACCACTGAGAGGGTTGATCGCCCCTATCCACTCGAGCCCTTGTCCCGGGGCCTGTCGCACCCAGTTCACCCAGTAGCCAGTGAAGGTGTATCCGGAAGCCTTGCAGGACACCTTCACTGAGGCCCCAGGCTTCCTAACCTCAGCCCCAGGCTGCACCAGCTGGACCTCAGAGTGGACACCTGTGGGGACGAGACAGGAGTGGGTGGAAACCCCCGTGACTGACCCAGGTCCCCTCATCAGCCCTGGACTGGGGAGCCCCTTACCTGTAGCCACTGCCACCAGGAAGAGGACTCTCCAGCTCCAGTCCATAGTGAGAGCTGTGCTGTCAGGACGTCTGTAGGGGAGCGTGTGGCTGTGGGGTGATGCTCTCAGGGCACAGACATGTCACCATTTAACCCCGCCCACCTCTGCTCATTTGCATATTATGAGCAGAGGGTTTCATAGCTGAAGACTTGGCCCACCTGAGAGAAGCTGGATGACACAGGGACCGTGCTCAGTGGGCGTCTGAGAGTCCACGTCCTAATCCTTGTTGGAGGATATGTGTCCCCTGCCAGGTCCCTGAATCTGTGCAGAGAGAGCCCCTCCCACTGAGGCTAAGCCTCCCCATTACGTGCTCCTCATTGTAAACCCTGCTTTGACATGGGGATCACCTGAGCCTGTTCTGGGCTTTGACCTGAATGTCTCAATCCTGCAGTTAGTTTGTGTCCACAAATTATGAAAATTTCAGATTGGTAAAACCATCCTATCATCCAGATGTAGTCATCTTGAAGTGCTAGAAACCCCAATTTAAAATGGATTTTATTGGCATTGTCTTTGGCAGATTCTTCCAATAGAATAAGATATTTACAGACACTTAACAGTCTTTGCTGTAATCTTGTTTTTGATGTTTTTTTATAAAGGGGAAGGAAACCCCAGGCCCTCAGAGGAAGCTCCTCCCCTTCCCCTCCCCACCTGCTCCTGGGGCTGCAGTCCCTGCTGGGTGGGTCCTGAGCGCCCCCTGCAGCCCAGCCTGCACCCTGCAGGGAGGGTCCTGCCTGGGCTCACAGGGTGTGGCCTCTAGTGTCTGTAGCCCAGTGTTAAATGTCTGTGCCCTGACCTCACAATGCTCCCTCAGGGCACAAGTTTGACATCGTCTCTGGAAGCAGTGAGTTGTCCTCACTGAACCCTAATGACTCTGCAGGTTGTCCCCAAGTAAGGTCTTTATGAAATCCCCAGGGAGCCCCTTCCCTGAGCTGCCAGATCCACTGACACAGTCCTGAGTCCAGAAGCTCAGGGTTTTGGAGGCCTCTTACCTCGTCTAGGTTCCTCTGGTTGAACGTGACACTTGAGAACCCCTGCTTTGTCTCACAGCCCTCCCTACCTCTGCTACTCAATACATTAGACACACACAGAGTGCGTGATTTTAGTGGTAATGGGCCTGCAAATGTCTTTATACGCTGTACCCAGTTCATGGGCCATCCCCCTCTTTGGACCATAAGCGTGGGTGTGTGACTTGTCTTGTAGATAAAATCCCAGGAAACGGGACACTTGGCAGTGTTGGATTTCTGGAGCATCCTGAGAAGGGCTGCAGACAGATCTTTGTCTCCACGTCAACCATCTCTGCCGGTCCCAGGAAGCACACACACTGGTGTGAGGATTTGGGCCTCTGCATCCCTTTCTGATGGAGGTCAGGGACATGTGGGTCTCGGCTGTGGGGTCACTGATGACTCAGGGATATGTGCTCATGACCTGCAGCCTCCTCAGTCCCCACTGTCTATCCTGATGCCCAGGGCTGGGTTGCAATGACCGCTGGCCCTTTGTCACATAGATTAACGGTTAATGATGCTGATCCCAGGACAGGAGTGAGCCTGTTCTCTCTCTTCTCTGCTCAGCGAGGTGCCCAACGTCTAAGCTCAGTTCTAGAGGCCACTGGGAAGGTGACTGTGTCACAATGATCAGGACTGTGACTTATTTCCCTCTAGTCATGAAACCTGATTCATAGGTATTTTTAACTGGAGAGCTTGCTATGGAGTGAATTCTCTCTCACTGCCATTCATATGTTGAAGCACTAAGACCCTGTGACCTGTACTGAGAGAAGAGCTTGTAGGAAGTACTTGTGGTTAAATGAGATCATAAGGTTGGTGTCAGCCTCTGATAGGTTTGGTGGCCTTATAAGAAGAGGGAGAGAAAGAGAGATGTCACCCTCTCTCCACCACATGAGATGACAGGGAAAAGCCAGCTGTCTGGACATTAGGAGGAGTTTCACTGGTAATCAATTCATCTGGCAACTTGACTTTGGACTTCCCAGCCATCAGAGAGTGAGAAAATAAATTTATATTGTTTAAACCACCCAGTCATTGGTTTTGTGTTGGCAGCTCGTGTAGACGAGATGGATTTTTGGTACTGAGAGTGGTGTGTTGCTGTAACAAACACCTAAAACGGTGTTGTTGACTTTGGAAGTAGATGAGTAGAAAGTAGAAGATTTTTCAAGTACACACAAGAAATTTCCAAGAATGCTGTGGAGGGATGTTAAGGTGACCATGTTGGGAGCCCAGGAAGAAGACTGGGCAGCTGACGAGAGGCCCCATATTCTAAGAGAAAACAGGGATCGTCATGAACACAATGGGGGTTGAAATGTGGACCTAAGCAGCCATCCTCGTGAGGCCTCAGATGAAATGGGGATCATGTTATGGGTCCCTGGAGGAATCGTGAGCCCTGTTATAAGGTGTCGAAGGGCTTGTCTGCACTGGTTTCCCTTGTTATGTGGAAGGTAGAGCTTGTGAGCAATGGAGCTGGATATTCAGCTGAGGAGGTTTCTAAGCAAGTGTAGGAGTGGCTTGGCTCCTCCTGGCTGCTGGTAGTAAAATGTGATCAAAGAGGGATCGAGGATGGAAGTATTAATCTAATGCTAATCAGAATTTGGCAATTAGAAAAGTGTAAGCCTATCCATATAGCCAAAGCTAGAAAGCTTTTGGAAAAGGGCATGAAAGGAGTTGCTGAGAAACCCTTTGATGAATAAAATCATGGGCATGCCTCATGGCTTTAATCAGCTGTGTCAGAATCAACCAGGAGTAGAGAAGGGTTATAGCAGCATATACACTGTCACTTAAAAATAATCAGGGACAAGAAGTTGTGGCAGAAAGAAAGAATGTTTATTTGGATTTTATAGAACAGGCTCATAACTCGAATTGGCTGTGAAGATGCAACATCGTTTAAGAAAAGGAAAGAATGATCTTGGACAAAATTTGAGGTCATCAGACAACTCCTTGATTTCAAAGACTTAAACCATCTTCTAGGTTTCAACAGGTAACACAACCTGCAACCAAAGCCTTTGGGTGGGACCCCTGCTGGCAGAGCCTGGGATGTGTGACCCCTGCTAGCACAGCCGTGGTGAGACTGCCCTAGTGGGTCCAGAAAGTGAGACACCACCTCAATGCAGTCAGGTGTTGGGACCACCACCTCTTCAAGGCCGCCAGAAGGAGGGGAATCCAGCCAATGAGGATGGATCTCCAACCTTCATGTCTCCTGGCATTTGCCTGGCAGGTTGTTACCAAGCTTGGGGCCCATCAGTCCTTCCTTCTTCCCTATTGACCCCTTTCACAATGGGACTGTCTCCCCTATGCCTGCCCCACCATCACAGTTTGGAAGCATGTAATGTGTGTGGTTTCATAAGTTCACAGCTGGAGAGGATTGCCTCAAAATGAATCACAGCTCAAGTTCATCAATATCTGATGAGACTATATTTAGGTGAGACTTTGGACCTTGGCATTTAGCATTGATGCTGTAATGAGTGAGACTTTGGGGGCTGTTAGGGTAGAGATCATTTATTTTGCATGTGAGAAAGGCATGAATTTTCATGATCCACCCAGAATACTATGGATTCAATTAAGTTCCTCCCAAATTTGTATGTTAGAGTAATAAGGTATCAAGGCCTCAGCTTGCAAAGACAGAGCCTATGACCTTGTACGATGAAAGGGATTATTGAAAATGTGATACATTAAAACCTTCAGATGGAGACAGTGTGTGGACTTCAGCATGGACACTGATGCCCACACACCGTCCTTGGAACAGCAAGGTGGGGGAGATCCTGCCCCAGAGAAGAAAGCCACACGCGGCTGGATGGAACGTGTAGGGACCTGCCATGAGCCTCAAATGCAAGGGATGCAGCTCTGATGAGGGAATGAGCCCCTGCAGCCTCTGGGAGAAACACGGCCCTGGGGACACAGTGATTTAGACCCAGTTCAGCTCTTTTCCTGACCAGTAAGGGGATAAGTCTGCCTTTCAAACCCGACTTGTGTTTTTGTAGTTTCCAGAGACACCAACGTGCACAGTCTACACGTCCACACATGACTGTGGGTGCCTGCGTTCTCCAATGACTATTTTGGAGCAGGGTCATCTCAGGGATTCTGTGTCCTCTGTCCTCCATCCTGCTTCCCGTTGTGACCCTTAGACTGTGATGCAGTTTATCTTCTCTGACCACAGAGAGGGAGCCGCCTGCTCCTGCTCCAAGGAGAAGGTTCTGGCATCTTGTGAGGACTCAGTTCAGGGACGTCATGTTCAAGTCCACCATCATGGTGACATTTACACCATGAAAAGAGGAGAACACTACAGAACATTTATCTAGTTTTTTGCCGGGGTCCTGCCTCGGCGTTCCAGAAAACAGTACCTGAAGTGGGGGGCAAGGTTTAAGGAAACAGAGACAAAGAGACAAAGAGGGTCCGGGAGCACTAGAAGCATTCTTAGCAACCAGCCCCGAGTTTATTTCCCATCATCATTATATACATCCAGTGTATGTGCAAAACAGAAGGGACAAATATGCATTACCTCATTCAAAAGTACATCATTAGCTATCTACTAGAAACTTGAAGGTCAGTGGAAAACTTAGAGGGTCAGTTTCCCAGGACACTTTCTTCCATAAACCCAGATAGCCCTCTATCTTATTGTGTCTTCCAAGGAACTGGCCATTCTCACCACATACCTCAAGGTTAAGTAAGCACCCTCCAGGTGCAGAAAGGAGCAAAACAAGAAGCAAAACAAGTTATGCTTCAGCTAAGCCAGCCTGCATGGCTCCCAACAGTTATATTTTCTCCTCCTGGGAGTTGCTTTGCCAGCACAGAACTAAAAATATTTCGTACATAATTAACGAAAGCATTTCCTTTGCCTCTATATTTATATCCCTGAGTCAAAAAAAGGCTGTGCCCAGCTGCCCCTATCACCTCCTCAGCCCCGCACAGCTGTCCTCTCCCTCAGGGTTTCTGACACTCTCAGGATGTGGCTCATCACAATGTGTCTCTCGCACAGTAATACATGGCCGTATCCTCAGGTCTCAGACTGCTCAGCTCCATGTAGGCTTTGCTGGTGGACTTGTCTGCGGTCATGGTGACTCTGCCCTGGAACTTCTGTGCATAGTTTGTGTAACTATCGCTAGGGTCTATTCGTCCCATCCACTCAAGCCCTTGTCCTGGGGCCTGTCGCACCCAGCTCATGTAGTAGCCAGTGAAGGTGTATCCGGAAGCCTTGCAGGACACCTTCACTGAGGCCCCGGACTTCCTCACCTCAGCCCCAGGCTGCACCAGCTGGACCTCGGAGTGGACACCTGTCGACAGGAGACAGGAGTGGGTGGAAACCCCGTGACTGGCCCAGGTCCCCTCATCAGCCCTGGACTGGGGAGCCCCTTACCTGTAGCCACTGCCACCAGGAAGAGGACTCTCCAGCTCCAGTCCATGGCCATGGCTGTGCTGTCAGGACGTCTGTAGGGGAGCGTGTGGCTGTGGGGCGATGCTCTCAGGGCTCAGACATGTCCCAATTTCACCCCGCCCACCTCAGCTCATTTGCATATTCATGAGCAGAGGGTTTCATAGCTGAAGACTTGGCCCACCTGAGAGAAGATTGATGACACAGGGACCGTGCTCAGTGGGTGTCTGAGGTTCAAGTCCTAATCCTTGTTGGAGGATATGTGTCCCCTGCCAGGTCCCTGAATCTGTGCAGACAAAGCTTCTCCCACTGAAGAACAAGACCGCCAGGATGTGATCCTCACTTAGAACCCTCCTTTGAATGACATGGGGACCACCTGAGCCTGTTCTGGGTTTAATCTAAATCTCTTATTACTGGGGTCAGTGAGTGTGCCCCAATTTTGAAAATTTCAGTTTGGTAAAATCATCTTTTCATCCAGATTGTTACTATTAATACATCTTGAAGTCTCAGAAACCACATTTTAATTTAGATTTTATTGCCCATTGTGTTTGCTAAAGTCTCCCGATAGAAAAGGATATTTATAGACACTTCAGCAATCCTTCCCCAAATCTTGTTTTAGACGATTTTATAAAGAGAAGGAAACCCCAGGCCCTCAGAGGAAGCCTGGTCCCTACTCCCTCCCCACCTGCTCCTGGGGCTGCAGCCCCTGCTGGGTGGGTCCTGAGCGCCCCCTGCAGCCCAGCCTGTGCCCTGCAGGGTGGGTCCCCTCTGGGCTCCCAGGGCGTGGCCTCTAGCGTCTCTCATCCAGTGTTAAATGTCTGTGCCCTGACCTCACAGTGCTCCCTCAGGGACACCATAAGCTTTAACCTCATCTCTGGGAATAGGTAATTGGTCTCACTAAACCCCCATGACTGTGCAGATTGCCCCCCTGAAGGTCTTTATGAAACCACCAGGCAGCCCCTTCCCCAGGCTGCCAGATGCACTGACACGGTCAACACTCCACTCAGCCCAGAAGGTCTCAGAGGTTTCAGTGGCCTCTTCTCTCCTTTACGTTTATCTGGCCGAAGGTGACACCTGAGAATCCCTTCATTGTGTCACAACCTTCTCTCTGTCTGTTAGTCAATAAATTAGACACACAAAGAGTGGTTGATTTTGGCAGTTATGGCTCCCCAAATTGTCCTTGTCCCCTCTACCTAGTTCATGGGCCGTCCCTCACTGTGACCTCAGGCCTGGGTGTGTCTTCTCTTATAAATGGAACCCCAGGGAATGTGACACATGCACAGACTTGGGAAGAACCTACACCCTGGCTCTGCTTTTTCTCACAGCCCATGGGACCCGTGCAGATGACCCATGAGATGGGCCAATCTTGTGCCACAGGTTGTCAGAATCGAGGCCCAATCACACTATTGCCCACTCACGGCACCTGCAGTGGGGTCCCTTGGAGAACCCATGTCTGTGGGAGGGGAGGCACCTGAGAGTTAGGGGAGGAAGAGGAGGAGGCAGCTCCATGTCAGCTGATTCAGGAGAGGCTGCTCGTGTCTGTTGGGAATACTATGTATTCTTACAATTAACACCTGTGAGGTAGTCATCCTGGGTCTGGGCTGTGACCTCCCCAAGGACTCTCCGTGGTCAGCTCACTTCACTGTGACCCCTCCCTTCCCGCCTGGAGCATCCACAGTCTATTCCTGACTCTTGTAACCCTGGTAACTGTGTCCCTCCCAGGTCTGTCACAAGTAAGAATGTCACCCACACTCAGTATTGGGTTCTGGGAACGTCCTTCCCCTGGAGGGTCAGCCCAAGGGAAGTTCTGGGTGGATTTCTCAGTAGTTAGTCCTTCCCTCCCCCTGTCAGGGACATGAGGGGACCCACATGCATCCTCCCTTGAGAACCTGGATGTGTCTGGATGGAAAGCTCACAGAAGTGTGGGGTGTGACCCCGGGACCCCCTCCCCTCCAGGAGCCCACCCGTGAGCTCCATCCATTCATATCACTTACCCTGGAAGTGCTCATATGAGCTTTAACCTCCAGCAGCTTCTGGTCCAGGTGAGAAGAATCACCTGGGACTCTGGATGTGCCTGTTTCCAATTATTACAGTGGAGGGTCTTCTTGCAATTTTTGTTCTGTGAAGGGTTCATGAGACATAATTATCTTCTTTTTCATTGTTCTCTTCTAATAATGGGAGTGATGATTTCCAAGATCTTTAATGTTGATGCAGAAAACAGATGGACCTCCACAGGTCATCTTTGACCTGTTACTAGAGGTGGGAATCCCATCTCACTAAGTGTAAGTGGCACCTGGACAGACAGAACTGGCCATGACATCACTGAAAGCCTGAGCAATTTCATGTCCCTCCCAGGAAGCTGGAGCACAGAAAGTACAACAGGCAAGGAACCTGTTACCTCAGGTGACGTCACATTTGGAAGGACATCCGTGCCCCTGGCTGGACCCAGGAGGTGCACCTGCTGCCTCTCACCAGGGAAAGGAGCTCCCACTCCTTAAAGACACACCAGGCAGTGAGAACGCTGTTTCCCAGGTGGGTGCAGAGCAGGGTGGGAGATGGAGGTGCCCTTGGCTTCCAGGAGGCACTGGGACACAAGGCCCCAAATCCCATCTGAGGCTCTGATCTAAGTGTGAGGACGTCTCATTAGCTCTGCCTTCTGAAACCTGTGGGTGTGTCAGGGTGATCAGGATTGTGACTTATTTCCCTCTAGTCATGGAACCTGCTTCACAGACATTTATAACCAGGGACCTTGCTATTGAGAGAATTCTATCCCCCCACCATTCCCATGTTGAAGCCCTAAGACCCAGTTGCCTGTAATTGGAGAAGGGCTTGTAAGAAGTACTTATGGTTAAATGGCGTCATATTGTTAAGGTCCCCTTCTGATAGATTTGGTGGCCTTATAAGTAGAGAGAGAGAAAGGGAGGTGTCACTCCTTCTCTTCCCCAAGAGAACAGTGAGGAGTCAGCTCTCTGCCCTGTAGGACAAGTTCCCACCATGCATTGCATATCTGGCACCTGACTCTGGACTTCCCAGGCTCCAGAATGTGAGAAAATACATTTCTGTTGCTAAAGCAACACAGTCATTCCTTTGTGATGGCAGCTTGATTTTTGGGGCTGCATATGGGGTACTGCTTATCAACTACCTAAGAAGGTGTTAGGGACTTTGGAAGTAGGTGATGAGTAGAAGGTGGAATATTTTTCCAGTGCACGTGACAAAACTCCAAGGTTGCTGTGAAGGGATGTTGAAGGTGACCGTGTTGGGAGCTCAGTAAGCAGACCAGGCAGCTGTCGAGAGGCCCCCGTATTCTAAGAGAAAACAGGGATCTTCATGAACACAATGGGGGTTGAAACATGGACCTAAAAAGCCTCCTGATGAGGCCTCAGATGGAAATGGGGAACATGTTATGGGTCCCTGGAGGAAAGGTGATCCCTGATATGAGGTGTCAAAGGACTTGGCTGCACTGGTTTCCCGTGTTATGTGGAAGGTAGAACTTGTGAGCAATGGAGCTGGATATTCAGTTGAGGAGGTTTCTAAGAAAGTGTAGGCATGGCTTGGTTCCTCCTGGCTGCTGGTAGTGAAAAGTGAGGGGAGACTGGATTGAGGATGGCAGTATTAATCAGATGCTAATCAGAATTTGGAGATTAGAAAAGCTGTCAGCCTGTCCATACAGACAATAGCTAGAAAGCTTGTTGTGAAGAGGGCACAGAGGTGTTGCTGAGAAACACTTTGATAAATGAAATCATGGTGTGCCTCCAGGCTTTAATCAGCTGTGTCGTCATAAACCAGGAGTAGAGATAAGTTATACCAGCAGATACACTGTTGTTGCCTTAGAGCCTCATTCTTGACCCGACCACCCCACACCAACCCCTGACCTAACAAGGTCACGAGGGAGTGTCTCAAAAAACTGAGACCCAGTAAAACGGTATCTGTAAAGCTTCCTCAAGGGACTGTCCAGAAACGCTGGGATCCAGCGGAATGGAGTTGGTTATCTCTCTTACTTTATGGCCGCAGCAACAGCTGCACCATCCTGGGGGTTGTGTGTGTGGGAGTACGAAGGCACAGCATGTGTTGCAGTAAAATGGTGCTGGTTGATAGAAACTGTCCTTAGGGCACTTATCACACAGACTTTAAAAAAAAGTTTCTTCACTCCTTTGAAGTTTCTTAGTAAAACCTATGCATTAGCTCGATTCGGGGCTCAGTTCCAGAGAGAGAACTGCATTCCCTGGGCCTCACCTTAACTCTATCCTTGTCTCTTGTGTTTCTTTAACTCTTTGCTGCCCCTCTGACCACTGCCCATGCTGCACGGGATGCAGCACACTGTCACTTAAAAATATATGGGAATGAAAGAAAGAAGAAAGAAAGAAAGAAAGAAAGAAGGAAAGAAAGAAAGAAAGAAAGAAAGAAAGAAGAAAGAAAGAAGAAAGAAAAAGAAGTTTTATTTGGAATTTACCGGACAAGATCACAGCTCAAATTGGTTGTGAAGATTTAATATCGTTTTGAAAAGAGAAAGAATGACCTTGAAGGAAATTTATGGAAAATTATGGAATGTTCCTCAGAGTAACGAGAAGGCCACTTCTGTGGGAAGCTCACATGCTCCTTAGTCTATCCGACCAGGAAACCCAGAGAGAAATCCAAACACACGCGGTTCCCTAAACAGAAAATCTCTTCTCCTCTGATCACAAACACCAGCATTGACTCTTCTGAACGGACGTCTTCCTGAGTATGGCGAGGCTTCACAGCAAAGACCTTTACATGGGTCTAAAGCTAAAGTCACCAGCAGACCGACTGGGCCATGTCAGGACCTTGTGCAAAATCAGTGTGAGGGACGCTTGTAAAAGTTTAAGAATTTAGTGACCCTGAGAGCACAGCATTCTATCAGTAATGCACAAATCCTGTTTTTCAGTTATCTTCAGTTGAATGACTTTAAAATGACTCCCACTTCTTTAACTTCATTCTGCAACAAGCAAGTGTCTCTTCTTCTTGTGATACCAAGTTGGGTCCTTCCACCAGCTGCCTTGGTGCAGGACTGTAGAAATCACTGGTCCCCTAAGGGTCACACTGAGCCACACAGGCTTCATGAGGCTGGGAGATTGTCATGATTCCTTTCCTTCCATCAAAGATTTCGGGATGAAAGTGTGACATTTAAGGTCAGTCTTTTGCTCTAGAAAGAGAATAGTAAAAAAAGACCATGGAGAGATCACCTTGCAGCACTTACACCCTTTCTCATCTCAAAAATGAGATATATCTGCTTGATTTGATAGTGCAATTGTTTGGTGGTTAGCTCTTTCAGGGTACAGCCAAATAGATGCTTTAGAGAAAGTGAGTAAATATTCAATCAAGTCGGAAAACAGTATATTAAATATTTGTACTGAGAGTAATACTCAGTTATCCTTTATTTTTCATCCAGCTTCTTAACTACACCCAACTCATGTGCCTTTCTATATCTTAAATTTATCTTCTTAATATACCTCCAGTTTTTGGACTCCTCTCAGTCCTGCTTCATGTCTTTCCCAGAACTTTAGCTCACAAATATCTGACTCTACATAGGGGCTGCTCACTGTGACGTAAGGAGTGACCAGCTCACCCACTCTGTTCCCTGTCCATGGTGTCACCACAGCCACCCATGAGGTGTCCACCATAGTGCTCTGTTCAGGAGTTTCCATCAGGATGACTTGTGTCATCAGGCTTCTGCATTGTTAGAGTCACAGGGGTGAGCAGCCAGCTGTGCCCCCACCTGACACAGGCCTGTCCTGCATAGTCCTTGTGTCACCGTGAGTCATATGTTTTTATGACACGTGGGCACAGCAGGTCCCCCTTCAGACCGAGTTAGGCTCCCTGAGGTGTCCACAGATAGACACACATGTTAGATGAATTAGGAGGTGATGGGGGGCACATGAATGCCCACATATGTACTGAACCTCCCTTCTTTGATGGGTACTGTGGGGGAGCTGGGAGTGTGAGCAGAGCTCCAGCCCCATGCAGCTCAGGGTCTAGGATGGATTTAGTGAGAATTAGGACAGAAGGTAACAGAAGGTGATGTTGGGTGGTTTGAAATATACACATGAGAAAATGTAGACCGAGAGGTTAACGTTGTGATGCTGTAGGGAGTCCAGAGACTATGGGGTTGGAGGTCCTGGGGGCTGAGCATAATCCCGTGGGGCCACGTGTGCCTGTGGGAAGGAAGGGCCATGTGGGGACCCCGTGGGCATGTGGGGGGCAGAGAGCCTGAGCTCAGCACACAGGGGCCTGGACTGTGCTGGGTTCTCTCTGTGGAAAGTGTTTCCCAACCACAGGGAACACCAGAGTCCTCAGGTTGGTCTCAGTTGAGAAATAAAAACAGGACACACAGGAATTCAGTTAAGAAAAGAAGCAAAGTCACTGTTGAATGTCACTGTAAACAGTGTTTCCCCCTGTGTGTGGCTGCTTAGAATATGAGATATTAGAGTCACAAAGATGGTTTAAGACTTGTCCCTGGGGGAGGTTGAGAAATTTCACAGGAAATCTCTGTTCCCACAGGAAGTCCCTTCCCCACCCAGGTCCACACCTGCTCCTGGGGCTGGTCCCTGTGCTCAGTGTGTCCCGAGCGCCCCCTGCAGCCCAGCCCTCCTGTCCCCTCAGGGAGGTTTGTGTCTGGGCTCACACTGACTTCCCCTCACTGTGTCCCTCGCACAGTAATACACGGCCGTGTCCTCGGAGGTCACAGAGCTCAGCTGCAGGGAGAACTGGTTCTTTGATGTGTCAGCCGTGATGGAGATTCGGCCCTGGAATGCTGGGTTGTAGCTTGTGCTCCCTGTCCAGTACCCCATCCACTCCAACCCTTTCCCAGGGCTCTGGCGGATCCAATTCCAGTAGTAACTGCTGGTGACAGAGCCCCCCGAAACAGTGCAGGTGAGGGACAGGGTCTGCGAGGGCTTCACCAGTCCTGGGCCCGACTCCTGCAGCTGCACCTGGGATAGGACACCTGGGAACAAGGAGAATCAGTCTGTCACATGCAGTCACAGACATCCCATAGGCCCATGTCTGACACCTGAGACCCTCACCTTGGGGGGCTGTCACCAGGCACAGGAGAAGACCCAGCAGCCTCATCTTCTTCTAGACCACAGCTCTGCCTTCCCCAGAGACTCAGCCCTGTGTGAGGAGAGAGCTGTGAGCTCACAGCCCAAGGAGGGTTTTACCCTGGAGCCTGCAGAGAAATTTGCATGTGGGGCAGCCTGGTCCTGATAAGTGGGGAGGGACTGAGTCAGGCTCCCCTGGTCCTTCTGAGCCACCTCCGTGTGTCTTCACTTGCACACAGGAACTGTGTGAGTCTGGGATGGGAGGCACTTGGATCATGAGGCACATTACAAACAGGCCTAAAAAGTCCCACCTTTCCGAGAATAAGAGTGAATGTGTAATCTCATGGATTTTCAAGTAGATAGTACAAAGGATCAGTTTTAGGTCAAAATATCCATGATAACCTCAAACATGAAAATATCCAGGATGGACAAGGCTTTATAATGGTATTTTGATGTGAAGTAATATGTTGATTTCACGTTTGCTGTAAACATGATCCCAAAATGTAAGACTGTTTTTCCCAAGAACTACCCCTTTGGTAGGAGCAACCAAAAAGCACAGGCAGGCTTGGAGACCCTTCATTCTTACTGCGTGGGTCTTAAATTTGTGTCTAAGGCTCTTGTGCAAATACTTTCCTTTAGCCACCCTAAGGCATGTCCCAGGAACCCTCACCAATTACATCAGACAGACTCACACCTGTACATGGAGAAGAGACAAAAATAGAAACAGCCATTAAGCATCTCTGTAACCCCACACCTGACAAATATTGAAATGATATGTGCAGAGCATAACTGACCCATTTTATCCAAGTCTGGTATTAAGTTAATGGGTGTTTAGAGATAGAAGGGAGGGGAGGGGCCCAAACATAGGATTGCTCAGAGGAAAGGACACTGTGACCCCAAAAGAACCCCTCTCCCTTCTTCACCTCCCCCTGCCCCCACCCCTGAGCTGGGCCCTGTGGTCACAGGGTCCTCGGCTCCTGCACAACATGTGAAGTTCTTTATATTCAGGATACAGCACTTTTACAAGATACTATTTGAATCTATTTCCAGCAGCCTCTGCTTGACTTTTCATTCCCTGAACAGTGTTTAAGTGGGACACAGACTTTTAACTTAAATGATGTTTAATTTATGAATATTTTAGTTTATGGATTTATCTTTGAGAATTATCTCAAAATTCTTCACACAGCCCACTCTCCCAAGAATATATCCTGTTGCTTTTTCTAGGCTTTTAATGAGGAAAGTCGTATCCTGTGTTTACAGAGAAGAGTG